AAAAAATGCCAAATATTTTGATAATTTATTGAGGGGTGACAAAACTTTACAAGGTGGGTCATGTGATCAGTGCCAAGGCACTCAAAGGGTGACAACAGTCAGGCAAATGAACCTAGTCAGCAGTTTTGCACAATCATAAATCTCTCTGAATGGCAGAGATATCAGGTGACCAATCCTGAGACAGTGGTCACATGACCCACCATCATGAATAACAGGCATTTGTTTTTTAGCATTCTATGCTTTCCTTATGGCACTGACTTGATTGCAGATGCAGCTAAGTCACCATTTAAATCTACATCCTCACTGATCAGTCGATTGTTACAATGTATCAAATGTTTGCTCTCCCCCAGCTATGGCGTATTGTGGATGAATACCTGCTCCTCTCTATGAAATGTGTCTCTTGTAACCTAACCTTCTCCCTGTTGGTTTGTCTTGTAGACGCCGGCAACTCCAGGTGATGCCTTTATGAAATACCCCACCCAGCTTCACCCCGCCATTGCCCCCATGTTCGGAACCCTCTCTTACAACCCAGTCGCTCTACCATCAGGTGAAAAAAGGCCCTTGTCACTTCTGGAAAGACACCATTAAATCACACACACACACCATAGACCTATTACTCATCCCGCCATTGCTGCGGGGACCTAGTAGTAATATTGGCTGGCTGTCCCTCAAAGCAGCAGAGCAGTGGTAGTGGTGGTGGGTGGGGGGGTAGATACAAGGACACACACATTGTTGCATATTTCAAGACAGGCTTTCAGTATTACTCTGGGGGGGAGGGGGGGGGACATACACCATATATATGTACATTGTCTGGACCATGTCTACATTCCTAAATGCATTGAGTTGCTTCCATGCGATTGGCTGATTAGATATTTTCATTACTGAGCAGATGAAGATATTTGTACCCAAGAAAGTGGCCAGTGAGTGTATATCATGCATTGTGATCTGTATACTATTTCATGAACTGATAGCGGGTATGAAGGATTTTATATTTCCGTAAAAGGCGAATTCCGGGGAGATATAAAAAAGCACAAATGAATGCATCTCTGTAATCACCAATACATCCTGAAAACTCATTTTTAGTTACATATAAGCAGTTTAAGTACATTAATTTGATATGATATGAGCCTGTACAGCAGAGCTTAGAGCAGTGGGAGGGAGAAGAGACACAGGGAGCCAATCAGGTGTGTTGCAGTGCAGTGAGCGTGTAAATAGAAGGAGAGAGCAGAGTGACAGAGAGATGAGCCAATCAGTGTGCTGTTTCTCTTTTCACTCTCCAGGCACAGGCTGGGGGAAGGACAAGACCTGTTTGTGTTACTTACCTGCAGCAGAGTGAAATTGGGTCTCCTGCCCTGACAGCCACAGTCTGTGATGTGTGGCAGAGTTGTGCAAATCTAAGGACTGGATGAACAGAAAACTACAACTTTACCTGTGTAGGCAAAAATCCTAGCAGCGGCCCTGCTCCAATCGGGAAGCTGGATGGCATGTCAATACTCACTGCCCGGCTTCCTGGTTGCCCGGGAAGCTTGCTCCATGCCAGCGGAAGCACCGGTATCGGTACTCAGTATCTGTGAGTACCAAAGGCAAAATATCGTTACTTGCACTCGATACCGAAAATACGGTATTGGTGCATCCCTAATAGACAGCACAGAAGCAAGGAGGAGCCGGCATGTCACTGTTCATAGCTTCCTGAAACCATCACAGCGCCCTGCCTCAGTACTCCTCTTGAAAGGCTTATGTACAAATATCCACAAGAACTTTGGGAACGCGGCCCCTATCGCAGGAGCACACATGAAAGCAATGTAACAACTTCTCCTTTCCTCAGTGCTACATTGTAACTCCCGCTTGTCTGCAGCTATAATTAGAGATGACTTGCAGCCCGCGGAGGAGACATGACATATAAGACACAACACTAAATCAGGCCCCTGGGGGCTCTGAGCATGAACACATTACCGGGGAACAGGGAAAATCCATGGCTAACCTTTGAGCAGGCGCTTTAGTATCGATCGGCCGCCGCCGGCCAATGAAAAAGGATAAAATAATTTGATTTGTTTAAGCAGATAGACCGGATAACATTGTATTCTAATTCTTAACTGATGCCAAGCGGACAGAGGTTTCATCTCATAACTAAAGTGGCGCTGGGTCTGCCCCCCGCGTGGCTTAAAAGGGCGCCGGACGCAAATGACAAGACGATTTAAAGGTGATCTCCGCTTTATCGGTAAACTCGTCCAGTTCCCTCGCGATAATTGGAATAGATAAAAAAAGATGGAGATTGTTATTGCTGCGGGATTCACGCTTTTTGGGTATTTTTACCTTAAAGTGGTTATAACGCCAAATGAATATATATATAAAATCTCCTCCACAATCATTTTTTTTTTACCCCGGTGCCTGTTATTTTTTTTAATGCAGTGATTTTTTTTTTATCCTGTTGGCTCATCTACCTTTTGCAGCATTGCCCCCGCTTGTCCTGATGCACTGGATCATTAAAAAAAAATATGTCTACAGGTTACTCTGTCCTCTGATCTGATTGGGTCAGGTGGTGGGCACGGGGCCAGTCTGCACAGCCGTAAATGGCAAGGGGAGGAGCTACTGTCAATCAAACTCTCTTACGCGCCTGTTATGCAGTGCAGCAAGGGACAGGTAAGAGTGTTTGATAGCGTCTCCTCCTGTCATTGCAACACATGGTGGGCAGACTGGTCTCGCACCCCCCCACGTTCCCCCCACAGGCCGTTTAGATCAAAGAAAGTGCACGGCAGTCATGTGACCTACGTCAAAGGCATCGAATAAAAGTATTTTTGAACCAAGGAAATAGCTCTGCGCTTCAAACTCAAAAATTATATTCCTAAAATGTGAGAAAAATAGTATGAAATGTGAAATTGTCACACAGTGATAAACAATTTGGTGTCATACACAACACCTGTGTTGCACAATGCCTGTGCTGATGATGGTAAGAAAAAGCTCTAGGTCTAATGGTCTAGACACTATAAACCATAATAATAATTAGGGTTGCACAGATACCAAGTACAGTACTCAGTACAAGTACGAGTACATGTACCGATACCTTTGAGCTCCAAGACTACGCTAGGGGCAAATTCAAAAGTTAGGAGACCGCTGTCATGTGTAAGGAGCATACGGAGCTCCCGGGATTTGTACATCTCTGTTATAACGCATGATTTTGTTTTTATAAATATAAATAAAGGGATGCACAGATACCAGTTTTGCGAGTACAAGTACTGGTTCTTGCCGAGTACTTACAAGTACGAGTACTGATACATTTTTGTTTATTGTCATGTGACGGTTTTTCTTAAACAATACAGACTAATGATTTCAGGACAGTGGTGGAGCGCCAGAGCCAGGTGCCAGCTGCGACCGCTGCAACTCTGGTAGTTCTCATGAAAATGCCAAGTATCTGCATTGGTACTCGAAAAGTATCTGCGCATCCCTAATAATAATACCAAAACAACCAAAATAATGATTGCAATGCTCGCATAGATCCGCCCACCTGATGCATTGCGTCACTATTGACTTCCTCTGAGGCGACGGTCTGCATCCAGACAATTCAATAGTGACGAAATGCATCAGGTGGGTGGATCTATGCGAGCATTGCAATCATAGAGACAGGAGCTCCAGTGGACACAATCCATGTGCAATTGCCTTACTTTAATTGTAAGTGCATTGTAATCGTTTTAAATAAATTTATTCTGACATACTACACTATGGGAAGCCTTTTTTTCTCTCTCTGAGCACAAGAGAAGGTGGAAGATGGAGGAATAGCCTCCTCCTTTTTGGAGCTTTTATAGCTGCTAAGTAGTAAGAAACCAAATGATTCTGCTACTTAAAGTGCAACTGAAGCCTGAGCTTGTTTTTTTTAGTTTTGGATAGAGTGGGGAGGGAGTAGACCTCCATCAGGTTTTTAATGCTGTCTGTGTCCCTGTGATGTCATCACTGGGTGCTTCTCTATGCAATGTGGATCATGGCTGATGGGAGGGACCAGCAGGGTGACATGACAGCTCCTTCAGTTGCCTATTGGGCTGCATATCACACAGGTGGCCCACTGGAGGAGCTCACACAGCAGATTGACAACACTGCTTCTTATTGCGAGGCAGTAAGTTAACATGGCCAGCAGGGCCGGGTTTCCCACAAGGCCAACAAAGGCCTGGCCTTGGGGCAGCAGGGAGTAGAGGGGCAGCGGGCAGTAGAGGGGCAGCAGGGCTGTGGAATTCCTATCTACTGATGCCCGGGACATGCAGTCCCGGGCACCGGGTGGGTAGTTGTTTTCTACACTTAGCTCTGCTTTGGGCAAGTAGGGCTAAATGTACAGCGGGGAAGCCGCCGCTTGTTTTGTACAAGTAATCCCGGCGATGTTGCCGAGATCACTTGTATGCAGCCTGCATACAGGGGGGCGCATTGAGGAACCTGGCCTTGGGTCAGCATAGAGAGTAAATCCGGCCCTGATGGTCAGCCTGCAACAGGAATCGCTATTACTGGCAGTAAGAAACATTGAAACAAATTTACAAATAAAATTATCAGCTTCAGCAAACTGTTTACGGTCAGGTATGACACCAAATGTACTGAAAAGTAGAATTTAGGTTTATATGCACCTTAATACATATAGAACGCATGTAGAAATGCATTGCAATGCACAGAAAAGAAAGGTATGTTTGGGTGAACGTGACGTCACCCTGTCTGAAATATGCGGGACCGCTGACATATGCGTTGTAACGCTGTCTGCTCCCGAAGTAATGAAATGTGACTGATGATGTCACAGAAAGTCTTGCGGCGCTGCGTTTTCAATCAGGATGACATGAAAAATAATAGACGTGTTCTTTCAGGGTAAAGGATGTTGATGTTTACTCAGTTCTAAGCGCTGCAGCGGGTCGACCATACGGTTATTAAAATGTGACGATATGTCCATTTATTGTAAGCAGAAGGCTGGAATTTCACCGCTAATATGAGGCTGAGAACGTGGAGCAACACTGCCCCCTGCTGGGTCATAGGGAGCGGTCCTTCTCAACCTTTGTAACACAGAGTATCCCTTGAAATAACTTCCAGATCTCAAGCAACCCCGAATAATAATTATTATATCTACTAATCACAGAATGTAATCCTGAAGAAAGTAAGTTGAGGATATAAGAATAAAAATAATATTAGGTAATGTGATGTACTTAGTGTATTTGACACCCGGGGCTGCTCCCTACAACTACATTGTTTTCAGTGATAATAATAAAATGAAGATTGTAATGTCCTCCTACATAGGTGATCAGTAAAGTGTTCCGTTACTTTGGTGGTCAGTGTAGTGCCTCTTATATTGGTGGTCAGTGGGAAGAATGCTCCTTACATTGGGGGTCAGTGGGAAGAATGCTCCTTACATTGGTGGTCAGTGGGAAGAATGCTCCAAACTCCTCCCACAAAAGTTGGGAGCATGAAATTGTCCAAAATGTCTTGGTGTGCTGATGCCTTAAGAGTTCCCTTCACTGGAACTAAGGGGCGGAGCCCAATCCCTGAAAAGCAACCCCTCCCCAATAATCTCCTCTCCACCAAACTTTACACTTGGCACAATGCAGTCAGGCAAGTACCGTTCTCCTGGCAACCACCAAACCCAGACACGCCCATCGGATTGCCAGACAGAGAAGCGTGATTGGTCGCTCCAGAGAACACGCCTCCACTTCTCTAGAGTCCAGTGGCGGCGTGCTTTACACCACGTTACTAACTATTAATATAAATGCACTTTATCCAGAGCCCTCCATCATTACATGGAGCGCCATTATCTATGCATAGTTTCTTGATAAGCACATTAGAATATGATGGATGATACCTCGGCAGTGTCACTTTTACGTTACCCTCCAAGAGCCGAGCCATCCATTGGGGCCCCTCCGTACAGATTAACCCCCAGAGGCCTCTCGTCATCCGGATCCAGTCCCTCGGGGACCAGGAAGGTTTAAAGTCAAGCCTTACAAGACGGTGATTAATTCAGGTCCTCGCTGATAAAGAGGAATCCATTTTTTTTAATTTTAAAGTAGCCTTTTTGGAGCAACGACCCTGAAAATCGCTCTCCGGGAAAATTGAAATTTGACAGCTAATGTGTTTGCGGCTAATGATTCCGCCGCCGTCCTCCGGTCTGGAATAAACACTCGTGAATGGAAGGGGCTGCTGGAGCTGAAATAAATCTAACCTCTAAAAAAGCTGCGCCGTGATATGACAATTATAACTGTTATGACTCTGTACAAATGAAAGCGAAGCCATTAACGAGACATAGCAGATTACCCTTCATTGGGCGCCGGTGAAATTAATAACATGGCCGAGGCAGAGAGGGGACACTTCCCTCATTTTTTTTTAAACCCTTCAAATTGGTCACAGCAGGTGTACAGACCCGGGATCTCAGCACAGGGATGGTGGGAGCCCCTCATAATGGGCACAGCAGGTGTACAGACCCGGGATCTCAGCGCAGGGATGGTGGGAGCTCCTCATAATGGGCACAGCAGGTGTACGGACCCAGGATCTCAGTGCAGGGATGGTGGGAGCCCCTCATAATGGGCACAGCGTGTGTATAGACCCGGGATCTCAGTACAAGGATGGTGGGGGTCCCTCATAATGGGCACAGCAGGTGTACAGACAAAGGAACTCAGTGCAGGGATGGTGGGATCCCCTGATTATTACCACAGCAGGTGTGCAGAACCTGTTGATCCTACCAGAAATCCAGTGAGCTGTTAACTTCCTGTGCTGCACTCTTATCAGTTACATTGTATCCCGTTATCTACATGGGCTACAAAACAAGAGAAGAAGGTAGGAGAAGGTTTTAGTAGTCCTGTCCTATTTCTGTCTTCCTGATACAGTTCTGTGAGGAAGCGTTGTCACCCTAGGACAGGAAGTGTGTTACTGGCGGGATCACCAAGTGAAAATAAAGGGAAGGAAAGCCTGAAAATATAAAATAAATGAATTTTTTTCTGATTTTTGAATATATATTTTTTTTATATGAAGAAGCAACACGCCTGTTTAGCTGCAGTACCAGATTTCACCAGCAGATGGCCTGTAATTCAGGCGCAGTTTTCAAATTTACAGGCAAAGTCTTCCTTTTTGAAAAATAAAACTGGCACATTTCTTTATAAAAGAAAAAATTTGCATTTATTGTTTTTGTTTTT